TTCAAAGCAATTGCATAATTGTCACAATCAGTTTGTTTCCTGTAAAAGTCATTAGTAATCATTGTAAGATGCTCAAATAGCTCAGAAAAGTATAAAGTGAAGAGAGATCATCTTTTTTTTGGTTTGTTTCTTAAAGACTGTTTCTGATATTTCACCACTGAATATTCTTCAGCTTCTCACTTAAGAAAAGTATGTATTTTAACACAAAAGTAACCCTGTATTCTAATTTTATTTCCAACCTTTGAATAAGAATGATGTTAAATTTTAAACTGCCTTTTTAGCATCCATTAAGATAATTACATTATTTCTCCTTTGAGTCATTAAAATGATGAATTTTACTAATAGATTTCTTAAAGAACCATGCTTTTATTCACATAATTAACTAATTAGCTAGCTAATCAATTCAAATGTTTACTGTGCGCTCACTATTCTCAGTTCTAACAAAGTTCATATAACGTAAATAGAACCGATATGATCTGTGTCCTCATAGAACTAATCTGGCAAGGAAGAGAAGCTTATAGCAATATGTACATACTTAAGTAGAATACAGAATGCAATCACAAATGATTATAAACGTTGCAAAGAAAAAGAACTGGTTACATTAAGACCCCTAGGCTATGATGTATTTATTATTCACTCTAGATTCTATTTGTTAATATTTTAGTTAACATTTTGATTTCAGTATTCAGTGGTGAAATTAGTTCACAGTGTTCTTTATTTGTACTCTTTTTTTGGCTATGGCATCAGCATTATACTGTGTGTTAAAATAAAGAAGGGAAATCTTTCTCTTTCTTATGTCTTCAAATGGTTTAAACAATATCAGAATACTCTGTTCCTTAGAGATTTGAAGACATTACCTTTGAAATTGTCTAGTTTTTACGGATGTAGCTTTTAATAATTTCTTCTATTGCTTTATTTTCCTTTAAAAAAAATCACTGATTTATTTAACTTTTAATGTATGTCTGATCTCTAATTTTGGGAATTCGTGCTTTTTCCTTCTTATTTATTTCCCCCGCCCCCTTCTTATGCAGCATCTTTTATTCATTCTCTTTTAAGAATTGACTCTGAGATTTATTGTTTTTTCTGTTTAAAATTTCATAAATTTTTGCCTTTATCTTTATCAATAACTTCTTTCTGATTTCCTTAGCTTGACTTCAATACTTTTGTTTTCCCCTCTAATTTCTTCAGTTGAGTGTTTAATTGACTTATATTTAAATCAACAGCTTTTCTTTTGACTACAGTTTTAGCCATAAATGACAGTTTTAATATTAAGTATTTTCATAATAATTTAAATAAATATATGCTACAATGAAACCTCAGTTACAGCGCATTTAAAGAGATAGTGCTAAAATTTCCAGGTTGTGGGATTTTATCGGTTTCTACTTTTATTATTGTGTTTTCTAGTTTTATTTCACTATGATCTGAGAATATGGTCTATACTATTTCAGTTTACTGGATTTATCAATAATTTCTTTGTGGCCAATTATACGCTCATTTTTGTAAATGCTACCCCTTGAAAGAAGGCGTATTCACTGTGTTCTGTATCTATCAGATCACAGAAGTATTCAAATCTCCCATCTTTACATATTTTTCCATTTATTTATCTTCCAGTATCCTACTGCCCCTTTATTTCTGTTAGCTTAACTTTGCATTTTTCAGCAGATTTTGTTATATATATTGTTGTTGTGAAGTGCCTTTGATTCTGACCCATAGTGACCCTGTATAGGGTTTCCAAGGAGCAGCTGGTGAGCTTGAACTGCTGACCTTGCAGTTCAAACGGTGTTGCAGTCTGACGCATTAGCCCACAGCACCACACCAGGACTCTGTTATATATATTGTTGTTGTTGTTAAGTGCCATCGAGTCAATTCCAACCCACAGCAACCCCATATAGGGTTTCCGAGGAGCAGCTGGTGAGCTTGAGCTGCCAATCTTGCGGTTCATACCGTTTTGCAGTCTGGTGCATTAACCCACAGTGCCAAAAAATATACGTTAGGTGTGATTAAATATGAAACAGAATATAAGGTTCTTGTGGATGGCACCCTTTTATCACAATAAATTACCACTTTTTGTCTCATTTAATGTTTTCTGTCTTGATTCTAATGCAGAAAATAATTATCATACGCTCCTGCTTTCTTTTTACTTTCAACCTAAGTTACTATGTTTTAGATAAATTTTATGTTTATAAACAAAATATTTCACAACCAGCCAATCAGAAAGACGCTGGTCCTCCTTTTCTTTCTGTTACTGGAAAAGGTTCATGTGGACTCCCTGCATTAATAAAACCTATTTCCTTGAATCCATTCCCACTCATAGCAACCCTATTGTTGCTGTTTAGTGCCATTGAGTCAGTTCTAACTCACAGAGACCCTGACAGGCTAGGAATAAGGAGAGATCATTTTTGAATATTTAGTCACTGAAAACCTTATGAATAGCAATGAGGCACTGTCAGCAACAGAATATTGAATAGTGAAACATGATACAGAGCATCAGAATATTGTTATAGTCAGGAAATCAAATGACATATTGCATTAGGCAAATCTGCTGCACAATACCTCTTTAAACTGTTGAAGACCAAAGATGTCAGTTTGAGGACTAAGGTGCGCCTGACCCAAACAATGGTATTTTCCATAACATCATATGCATGCAAAAGCTGTACAGTGAATAAGGAAGACCACAGAAGAATTGATGCATCTGAGTTATGGTGTTGGAGGAGAATAGTGAAAGTGCCATGGACTGCCAGAAGAACAAACTAATCTGTGTTGGAAGAAGGGAAGCTAGAATGCTCCTTAGAATTCAGGATGACCAGACTTCATCTCTCATACTTCAGGCATATTATCAGGAGGGACCAGTCCCTGGAGAAGGACATCATACTTGGTAAAGTGTAGGGTCAGCAAAAAAGAGGAAGACCCCCCCACCCCACCCCAATGAGCTGGGTTAGCACAATGGCAGCAGCAATGGGCTCAAGTATAACAACGATTATGAAATTGGCGTAGGACTGGGCAGTGTTTCCTTCTGTTGTGCAGAAGGTCACTATGAATCGGTAATTACTGAACAACACCTAACAATAAGGACAGACTAGAACTGCCCCAGAGGGTTTTCAAGGTTGTTAGTATTATGAACAGCCCTGGTAAAGATTTACAACCTTGGGATCACTGTGAGTCAGAACTGAGTCAATGACAATGGGTTAATCTTTATGGAAATAACCAGTCACATCTTTCTCCTGCAGCGCTGCTTATGGCTTCAAACTGCAGACCTTTCAGTTAGCAGTGGAGCCTTTACCACTGCGTCACCAGGGCTTTTTCCTGCATTAATACTTAGTTGGTGTAAGGCAGGCCTGGGGAGGTGACACTGTTGTTAAGTGCCACTGAGTCTGTCAATCGACTCACAGCAACCCTGTGAAGCTTTAAATCATTTGGAGGGAGCAGAAAGCCTCATTTTGCTCCTGTGGAGTGTCTAGTGGGCTCAAACCTCAGACTTTGTCTTTTGCAACTAGTGCTTACCATATGGAGCCACTGTAGACATTATTATTTCAGTAACTCTTAACTAGCTGCTGGCTGAGAAGCTTTCATTTTTTACTGGGTAATCTTACTCCGTTTACATTTATTAATTTTAAGATCAAAACTGGTATGTATCATATATGATCTTTATCGAGAATTCCCCCCCCATCTTTTCCCATACAATGTACATTTTCTCTCTTTAATTGCTCTTTTTTGTTCTCCTATTCAGATTATTTAGAAGAAACAAAAAGTTGCTTTCTGATTCTCTTGATCCTCAGCATACCTGAGCATTGCTGTTGTTCAGTGCAGTTGAATCAGTTCTGACTCAGAGTAACCCTGTATAGATTTTCCAAGGCTGTAAATCTTTATGGGAACAGAAAGTCTCATCTTTCTTCCCCAGACTGACTGGTGGACTTGAACTGCTGACCTTGTGGTTCACAGTCCAGTGCTTATTCCACAGAGCCACCATCTCCCCCTGAGCATATACAGTATGAATTTCTCAAACAAAAACTGTCTGGTGCTAAAGAGAGAACTAGTTGATAGGATGGAAAAAGGAAAACCAGAGTACCTGCCCCAATGAGACTAGCATAATCTACAAATTATGAGGAAACAACATACAACCTATGGATCATTTTATTGGCAAAGAAAGGAAAGTTGTTGTTAAGTGCTGTTGAGTTGACTCATAGGGACCCTGTATAGGGTTTCCAAGGAGCAGCTGGTGGCTCTGAATTGCCAACCTTGTGATTCGCAGTCCAGTGCTGATCCTACAGTGCCACACCCGGAGTCCAAAAAGGAATAGGAAGGACTAAAGATAAACATTTAAAAGGGGAAATTTCCCAAATGAGTACTGAGATTTCTTTGCATTGGTATACATATATGCGTGTGTGGATGTGCATGTGGGCAAGAGAGAGACTACATGAATAAATGTACAGTGGCCATATCAGGAGGCCTAGTATGGCATTGTATTCCTAATACAAAGTTATAACTGGGTTCATTCGTTTGTTCCTCCTTTGATATCAAATTATTTAGCAAAACCCCCCTCAAACTGGCAAAATGTAAATCAAGATTACTAAAAGCCAAACATCCTTAAATATATTTAAAAATAATACAATACATATCAGTGATAGAAACAGACATGTAAAGTTAAATTTATATAATATAAGACTTCATTTCTTTGTTACAAATGAAAGTTAAAACATGGAAACAATGAAAAGGAAATACGAAGGGGCTTTGAAAAGCTCATGGAAAAATTGCAGTATCTTATTTTAAAGCTTTTATTGTGCACTGAGTGATAGTGTACATGGGAGAACATCAGGTTTGCACTCAGCCTGTCATATTTGGCATCACTGCAATAATTACAATCCCCTCCATGCATCAAAATTTCCATTATCTTTTAATTTCATTTTACCACAAATTTTTTTTAATGCGCAAGGATTTTCCTCAAATGTCTTTTATGACAGTATGGTTAGATTAAAGAATAAGAAAGCAAAATATATTCTTACCTAGAAGTGCCACCAGGGTTAGAAGAATCACAATGTGCTTCATTCCTTTTCTTTTATGGAAATACAGGAGGATGCAGAAAATTAGTATTTCTAAAATCTAGAAATAAAAATGATAGAAAAAGAGTTGTTAAGTGTTGTTGAGTGAAGTATAAATTATTTTATATAAATTTTAAAATGCCACACTTTTTGTTATTGCCACAGTTTTCATATGATAGTTTAGGGTGACTTACTGTCAAAGACGAGGAAAAAGAAGAATGATAAATATGCCAATTGCCACTGAATTAACTCTGTCTCATGGTAGCCCTGTGTGAGTCAGAGGTGTTAGAGTAGAACTGTGTTAATAGGGTTGTCAGTGACTGATTTTTGGGGAGTACATCACCAGGTCTTTCTTCCAAGGCACCTCTGGGTGGACTTGAACCACCAACCTTTCAGTTAACTGCTGAAACCAAGAGATGCAAATGTTTAACACATTCCACTGCTAATATGAGTGCTTCTCATGCATGACAGAAGGAAACACTGCGTAGTCCTGCACCACCCTCACATTCCTTGTCACGTGTGAGCCCAGTGCTATAGCCACAGTGTCAATCCATCTTATTAAGGGTCTTCCTCTTTTTCAAGGACCCTCCACTTTACCAAGTGTGGTGTCCTTTTCCAAGGACTGACAATATGTCCGAAGGTCTTGAGACTAAGTCTCACCACCCCTGTTTCCAAGGAGCATTCTAGCTATACTTTTGTTTGTTCTTCTGGAAGTCCATGGAACTTTCACTATTCTTTGCCAACACCATAATTCAAATACATCAATACTTGTCTGATCTTCTTCATTCATTATCTAGCTTTCACGTGCATATGTTGTTGTTGTTGTTAAGTACGTGGAGTCGGTTCCGACTCATAGTGACCCTGCACAGGGTTTCCGAGGCTGTAAATCTTTAAGGGAGCAGAACGCCTCATCTTTCTCCTGCAGAACCGCTGGTAGTTTCGAACTGCCGACCTTGAGGTTAGCAGCCCAATTCATAACCATTACGCTACCAGAGCTCCTTGCACATAAAACGAATGAAAATACCAAGGTGAGGTGCATCTTAATCCTCAAAGTGATATTTTTGCTCTTTAACACTTAAAGAGGTCTTTTGCAGCAGATTTGCCCAATGTAATGCATCATTTGATTTCTTGACTGCTGTTTCTATAACATAAGTATTGGTGTGGAGCCAGGTAAAATGAAATCCCTGACAATGTCAATGTTTTCTCTATTTATCGTAGTGTTATTTACTGATCCAGTTGTGAGGATTTTTGTTTTCTTTACAATGAGTTGTAATCCATACTGAAGACTGTATTCGATGATTTTCATCAACAAATGCCTCAAGTCCTCTTAACTTTCAGCAAGGAAGGTTGTATCATCTGGATATCGTAGGTTGTTAATGATGCTAAATTTTGATGCTGAATTCTTCTTCATATAGTCCATCTTCTCAGATTATTTGCTCAGTATACATATTGAGAAAGGATACGACCTGGATGCACATCTTTTCTAACTTTAAACCATGCACTGTATCTTGGTTCTGTTGAAATGACTGCTTCTGGGTCTGTATACAGGGCTACCTCATTTTAGTAAGCGTCAAAAACCTTGTGGAAAAATGGAATGAAAAGATAATGTGATTTTCTCATGAACATTTGAAGCCCTCTCATATATGGTAAATGATATTGGAGTCTTGCTGTGGAACTATAGGATAAGCACAGGACCGCAAGGTCAGTTTGAACCACAAGATCGGTGGTACACACAAGCCACTCCTTGGATGGAACTCTACACTTGGTCGACTATGAGTCGGAACTGATTCGATGTACCTATCAGCAACATAAATGATATACATGTGCCCTCTCCCGAGATAAACAGATAGAACCTAGACAGATTGGCATGGTCGCAGCAGAATGGTCTCAAGCACGGTAACGATTGGGAGGATGGCTCAGTCAGGATGGCAGTGTTTTGTTCTGTTGTGCATAGGGTCGCTATCAATGGGAACTGACTCCACAGCACCTAGCAACAAAACAACAACGCCTTTGAAGTCTCTAGCATGCACTCCCCTCCTCTTACTGCCTCCATAGAAAACAGGACCCTGAATTTTGTGTTTGTCATTCATTTTCTTTATTACATTTTTATGCATCTCCAAACAATACCTTTTTTTTTTTTTTTTTTGCATCTGTTTGGACTTATACCAGTACAATCAAACTTGCTTTTACTGATTGCTTTTTCACACTGCATTCTGTTTAGAAGATTCATCCCTGATGATAGGTGTATTAGAAATATAAAGTAGGTAGAGTCTTTCCTTTGCTTAAAACCTCCTCTAACTTCCCATCACATTTAGAGTAAAATCCAAATGCCCCCACTCCCTCTTGGATTACAAAGGCCCTGCTGACTTCTCAGACCTCATCTTGGACGGTAGCCTGGTGGTCCATGCTGTATCAATCACAATGCCCTTTATTTGTTTTTAAGTATGGGAAAATTAAAGATGTAATTTTGAGGTATACAATTCATTGACAATTACATTCATCATACTGTATAGCCATCATTAGTATTCATCTCCAAATCTTTGTCATGGTCCCAAACTGAAACTTAGTACCCCCCTGAGCCATAGAGGCCCATTCCCTCCTCACCTCCCAATTCCTGGTAATCACTAATCTGCTCTCTAAATCGATATATTCACCAGCTCTAGAAATTTCATATAAGAAGTACCATGCAATATTTGACCTTTTGTGTATGGCTTCTTTCACTCAGAATAGGGGTTTCTAGGTTCAACCAGATTGTCGCAAATATCAGAACTTCATTTCCCTTTGTGGCTGAACAACACTCCATTGCATGGATATTGCATGTTTCATTTATCCATTCCTCTGTGGATGGGCACTTGGGCTGTGTATGATGCTGTAATGCACACTGGTGTGCAAGAGCCTGGATCTCTTGCCAAAGCCTTGCAGTCCTTTCACTGCTCTTGTCTTTGGGTCTGTGCACTGGCCGGCTGCTCGGCCTGAATGCTCTCTCCGTGACCTTTGCAAAATGGCTCCTTTGAGCCACTCAGCCCTCAGCTGAAATATCACCTGCCCCTTAATAGAACTTGAAAGCGAGTTATCACTTTTTCAGAAGAAAAGAACATCCCTGAACTGAAGTCATATCAAAGAGGTTGGCTTTCCTGATGCTAGGCAAATAAAAGTACTATATAACACTAATTTTTAATGAAAAATGGCTACAGTTAGGGACTTAGCTGCTTCCAGGATTGAATTTTCTGTATAGTTGTTGTTGTTGTTATGTGCCGTGGAGTCAGTTCTGACTCATAGCGACCCTGTACAGGGTTTCCAAGGCTGTAAATCTTACGGGAGCAGAAAGCCTCATCTTTCTCCCATGGAACGGCTGGTAGTTTCAAACTGCTGACCTTGTGGTTTGCAGCCCGATTTGTAACCACTACACTACCAGAGCTCCTTTTTCTGTAGAGAGCCCTCCCTAAGTCAACTTAAGTCTGTATTGGCTGACTGGTTTTGTTTGTTAGTTTTCCTTTTGATCCTCTGCAGGAGGGGCAGATCTTCCTCATTTAAAAACTTTTTCATCTGATACAGAGGATTAAATCATTGCTTAGTCTTTTCTCCTCCTGTGTAAATTAAACCACTTACTTTAACTTTCCCTTATATAAGGGCTGATTTGCCAAGTCTTTAATTCAATCACGTTGTGCTCCAAAAGTGATTAAACTCCTGTCTGTTTGCCATCCCTAAAGCTGCATGAAAACTTGGGGTGTTCCAACCTCTGTGTTGTTGTTGTTGTTGTTAAGTGCTGTCGAGTAGGTTCCGACCCATAGCGACCCTGTATAGGGTTTCCGAGGAGCGGCTGGTGAGCTTGAACCACTGACCTTGTGGTTCAAACAACGTTGCAGTCCAGCACATTAACCCACAGCGCCACACCAGGACTCCCAGTCTCTGTACTACTCATCAATCATAAACAACAGAGAGAACCCTCTCGACTTGTTCTCCTCTCAGGCACAGGCTTCCATTTCTCTGTAACACAGTTACAAGCAGCTCACAGGTGTATGTGGGCCACTGTATGTATTCCTTGGTGGAGACAAGGAATACAGTATTCCTCGTCCAGCACCAATGTACAGAGCACGCCAGTGAAACCTATTAACATACCGATTATTGCTTTTTGGGGTAGAGGAGAGTAGTCATTATCAGTTCTAAAACCCACTTACAATGTTTTTTTTTCTTAGAATCTATCTCTGTGGTTTTAGATAACTAAAATGTGAGCTTCTGTTACTTGAGGAATGATTGGTTACCCTGGGTTCTGCCTTATGACAAGAGGTCACGCAGCTCCCAGGAATAAAATATTCAAGGAGCGTGAATTAATGTTAATTTTTTCTAGGAGCATTTTTTTTCTCTTCTGTCTGGAGATATCAATATTGAAGAAGTTGTGCTTTCTTCAGGTTTCTGCAGCCAGGAAGAGTGCATTGCTGATTGCTCTCCCAGAGGTCAGAAATAATGCACTGGACTTCAAAGCCAGTTTGAACCACAAGGTCGGCGGTTCACGCTCACCAGCCACACCTCGGGAATCCTATACAGGGTCGCTATGGGCTGGAACTGACTCAACAACAACAACTGGGAGCTTAGAGTCCTGCGGTGGTGCTTTAGGATAAGCATGGATTACAAGGCTCATCCTACAGATCAACCACTCACCAGCCATCCCTCTCCTAGGAAACCCTAAGCAGGGTCATTATGAGTCAGAACTGAATAGATAATACTTAACAACTGTGAGCTCACCTCACGTCTGCACTATGCTCAGGGCTTCACTTATACTAGCTCACTGAACCCACACAATTCCCTCAGGAGGTGGGCATTACCAGCACCCCATTTTGTTGTTAGCTACTGTTCAGCCGATTCCATCTCACAGTGATCCCAGACACAGTGCCTGCCTATTGTCATTCTGGCGGAGACCATTGTGATCTCTTGGGTTTTTACTGGCTGACTTTCACAAGTAGATTGCTAGGCCCTTCTTCCTAGTTCATGTTAGTCTAGAAGCTCTGCAGAGACCTGCTTAGTGTCATAGCAACAGGAATGCCTTCGCTGACAGACCGGTGG